TTCGTCGACTGAGAAGGAAGCCAAGCCATGACTCTGTTTTTCTCTTGTAATTTGCACCGGCCGAGTCCCGGGCCTTGTAATCTTTGTGTCGATTTCAATAAATAGTGTGCTTTTCTTATCCGACCTCGTAATTTCTTATTATTTTGTCTCCCGACCTCGGATCCGTGAGATGGACCCCTAGTCTTGCTATGGCGCGATTCTACTGTCGAGGGAGTCGCCGAGTCTAATCGCCGACTCCACGACCGGAATTTCTTCGTGAACTCGGCCGACATCATTTGCTGAGCTGAGTTCTACCGGGTTGCTTCTAGAAGCTTCTAGCTCGTATCTCGTGGGCCCAGAGGCCGTGACCCGCTATGGGCTTCCGGCTTAGCAGGCCGGGTCATGTGACGTTCGACCCTAGCCTAGGGCAGACGCGCCGTCTGTGGGCTAACCCTAGGCCTGAACCGTCGCCGCGCCTTTTGAGGCATTAAATGCGGCGTCTCTTCACGTCTCGTCACCTCCAGCCCCTCCAACGAGAAGGTGGCGCGTGGCCGCCCTTTGACATTCTTACCCTTCAAATAGCCACTTCGTCTCTTTCCACTCTCTTCTCCGGTCTTCTCCTTTTCAGTTTCAACTTCGAGCTTCTCCGGCCACTCTGTTCCTCCTCCAATTTCCTTCCTGACTTAGGTAATGTCTTCTTCCTCGCATTCTTCCTCTTCTCGTCGTTACTCGGCTGACAACACCGAGGCGACTTCTCCCTCTTCTTCTTCTCCTTCTTCGTCTTCCTCTTCTCCTCCACGTCGTATGGAACTTTCGGCGGACGTTCCATTGACGTCTTCCCTCCGTCGCACGGAACTTCCCTCGAACGTTCCATCGACATCTTCTCTTCCTCCGACCCCCTCTTCTTCGGGGGCGGTTACTCCGCTGAGCCCCGCTCCTCTGACGACAGTGGCGGCTCTGCCGGGCGGCGTTATACGGCCGCGGGGCAAGTTCGACCCAATCGTCCGCCCCTCCGGGCCACCGTCCATCGCTACTGCGGCGGATCTGGAGATGGCCCGGTACCTTCTTGGGCCCTCGGCCATAGTCCTTGCTCCGGAGGGCCGGCAAATTTACGACCCTCCCGAGGGTTGTGTCGGTATTCATCTGCACTCGGTCGCCTTTGGCTTCCGAGTCCCCCCATGTCCTTTTCTCTCTCTTTTTTACCGCCATTATAACTTGGTCCCGGGCCAATTAGCACCCAATTCTCACCGACTCCTCACCTGCTTCATCAATCTCTGCCACTGGTGGTTGTGCGAGCCAGACCTCGACCTGTTCCGGTATCTTTTTACCGTAAACAAGGTCGGCTCGCACTCGCCGGGCTTCATTCAAGTCGCCGCTCGCCCAGGGCGACAACTTTTCGAGGGGTTGTCCGATTCCATCAAGGATTGGAAGCTTCTCTATTTCTTCGTTCGCCCTGCCCTTTCTTCTTTCACTTTTCCGACCCTGTGGCCGGCCGCTCTGTTCAAGCCTTGTCCTCGACGTGCCATTCCTTCCGACGAGGCGGTCTTGGGCGGCGAGTTCTTGAAGGGCTTTGGGCCGTACTCCGTCAAGTACTGGTCCCGAGTCCGGGCCATGGCTAAGCGTGGCTTGCTGCCGGAGGGTGCGGCCACAGTAGGTAGTCTTCGTTATCTCTTACTCCTCTTCTATCTCGCCATATTCCGACTCGGAGCACTTCACACTTTCTCTTTCCTTCTTACAGGTCCATACGACTCCGACTCTTCCAGCTCCGACGAGGCGTTTGCACCGACTCCCGAGATGGCAGACAGAGCCGAAAAGATGAGGCGTCGGCTGCTCCAACGCTCCTCCGGTACTGCTGCCGCCTCTTCTTCTCTACCGTCTCCAGCTCCCAGGCCGACTCCTCCTCCTCCTCAGAACGTGGTGGATCTGACTCCATCACCAGTGGTGTCGCCCACTCGGCAGCCACCTCCCGCTCAGACAGAGAGCTCTGGCTCTAAGCGCCCGGCTGCTCAAACTGACGAGCCGGCTCCAAAAAGGATCCGGCTGTGTCATGAGGTAGAGGAGGATGCCCAGATCTGGATGGTCACCTCCTCTGTCCGTAAGTGGTGTGCTAACGTCCTTCTCCCTAAGGACGTGGAGGTGACTCACGCTCTGGGGGACGGGTACATCCTCGAGGCCTCACTGCGCCAATCGTACCGCGTAAGTATTTTCCACTTGACCTCCCCTTCGTCCTTTTCTTTCATTGCCTGACTTGTGTCTTTTTCGCAGAACCTCACCTTCCAGATGGAGATGAGTAAGCGGCTGCAGAACTATTTGACCGACATGCGGTCTATGTCGAACAAGCTACGTCAGACGGAGGAGGCCTTTTTGGAAGAGCAGGCGAAGCACCTCAAGGTGGTGGAGGTGCACAACTCCGAGATGCTGAGGGTTACTCGCCAGTGGGAGGAGGAACGAAACAAGGTGGTGACGATTGCTACGGCCTCCGTCGAGGAGTACAAGAAGTCGGCCGCCTTCGAGGCGGAGGTGAAGGCGGCGATAGAGGCTCGCCAAAAAGAGATTGCTAAGGAGTGGCTATCGACGCCGGATGGCGACGAGTTTCTCCTGGACTTGGGCGAGCGTGACTATCGCCTCGGCTTTCGCGAGGCGCAGACAGAGATCCATGCTGCCTTGCTGGTCCGCGACTCCTCTTTCACTCCCGAGAACTGGGGCCTCAAGCCCGTGATAGATGCTCTTCCGGCGACTGAAGGACAGTCGGCGGCTGGGGATCCGGCATCTCTTCCGGCAGCCTCTGATCCGGCGACACTTCCTTCCATGACACCTCCCGAGCTTGCCGAGTCCTCTCTTCCAACCGAGGACCCTTCTTCTGTTCCCCTGACTGGACCAACGGCAGGGGCCCAAGTTGAAGGGATTGATGTTGACACCCCCTCCCCCGTAGTTTAGGGCTGTCCTGTTTTGGGGATAGCCCCCCTTTTGTAAAGGCTGGCCTCCTTTTCGGGCCTTTTTTAATGAAATTCCCCTTTTCTCTTCCTTTTCGTATTATCTTGGGCTTGACGCTTCGTACCTTAACCTAGACTCGTTTAACTGCTCACCGAATCCTTCTGTCAAGGTTTTTTGCTCGCAGGCATGACTAAGGGTCCAGGCCCTTGTGTTCCAACTCTCTCTTGTCGAGTCCCTTGGTCGAGACGACTCTCCAAGGCTTTTCCTTTCTCAGAAACAGTTTAGGGTCAGTGCCCCGTCGTTTCTCTCAATACTCACCGAGTCCCTCAGTCGAGGCGACTCCTGTAGGCTTCTCTCGGAAACGTCTAAGGGTCTGGGCCCTTGTTTCCTATCTCTTCTTGCCGAGTCCCTCGGTCGAGGTGACCCATTAGGCTTTTTCTATCTCAGAAACAGTTTAGGGTCAGTGCCCCGTCGTTTCTCTCAATACTCGCCGAGTCCCTCAGTCGAGGCGACTCCTATAGGCTTTTTCTCGGAAACGTCTAAGGGTCTGGGCCCTTGTTTCCTATCTCTTCTTGCCGAGTCCCTCGGTCGAGGTGACCCATTAGGCTTTTCCTATCTCAGAAACAGTTTAGGGTCAGTGCCCCGTCGTTTCTCTCAATACTCGCCGAGTCCCTCAGTCGAGGCGACTCCTGTAGGCTTTTTCCCAGAAACGTCCGAGGGTCTGGGCCCTTGTTTCCTATCTCTTCTTGCCGAGTCCCTCGGTCGAGGCGACCCATTAGGCTTTTTCTATCTCAGAAACAGTTTAGGGTCAGTGCCCCGTCGTTTCTCTCAATACTCGCCGAGTCCCTCAGTCGAGGCGACTCCTGTAGGCTTTTTCTCGGAAACGTCTGAGGGTCTGGGCCCTTGTTTCCTATCTCTTCTTGCCGAGTCCCTCGGTCGAGGTGACCCATTAGGCTTTTCCTATCTCAAAAACAGTTTAGGGTCAGTGCCCCGTCGTTTCTCTCAATACTCACCGAGTCCCTCAGTCGAGGCGACTCCTGTAGGTTTTTTCCCGGAAACGTCTGAGGGTCTGGGCCCTTGTTTCCTATCTCTTCTTGCCGAGTCCCTCGGTCGAGGCGACCCATTAGGCTTTTTCTATCTCAGAAATAGTTTAGGGTCAGTGCCTCGTCGTTTCTCTCAATACTCGCCGAGTCCCTCAGTCGAGGCGACTCCTGTAGGCTTTTTCTCGGAAACGTCTAAGGGTCTGGGCCCTTGTTTCCTATCTCTTCTTGCTGCGTCCCTCGGTCGAGGCGACCCATTAGGCTTTTTCTATCTCAGAAACAGTTTAGGGTCAGTGCCCCATCGTTTCTCTCAATACTCGCCGAGTCCCTCAGTCGATTAACTGTAACCCATGTGCTTTATTTAGATTTTTGGAATCTTTGAGCACGTACACGGCCTATCCTTTTCTACCGATAGAACATTTTCAAATGGGTGGCGTTCCATATGCGATCGACGAGCTTGCCTTCCATGGTCTCTAGCTTATAGGTTCCGGCTTGGACCACCGCTGCAATACGGTATGGCCCCTCCCACTTAACTGCAAACTTGGCCCCTTCGGTGGGCTGACTGGCCTGTCGATCGCGTAACACGAGGTCGCCGGCCTGGAAGGTTCGCGGGCGAGTCCTCTGGTCGCGATATCTTTTCACCGCCTGCTGGTACTCGACCATCCGTGCACTCGCGGCTTCCCTCCTTTCTTCGAGGAAGTTTTTCTCGATCCGCAAATTCTCCTCGTTCGTTGCATCCGAGTAGGTGCGAACCCGGTGGGTGGGCTCGACTACTTCGACTGGAACTTTGGCCTCGAAGCCGTATGCGAGCGAGAACGGGCTCTCCCCCGTCGCTCGCCGCTGGGTAGTGCGATAAGCCCATAGGACTCGGTCAAGCTCGTCCGCCCAACTTCCTCGAATGTCTTCGAGCTTCTTCCGGATCCCATCGACCAACGTTCGATTCACATTCTCGACCTGCCCATTGGCTTGTGGGTATGCCACCGAGACCTTGGTGTGCTTGATACCGTGTCGGCGGCAGAAATCAGCGAAGGCCTGGCAGTCAAACTGTCACCCGTTATCGCTGACGATGTGCTCAGGCAGGCCGAAGCGACATATCACCCTTTTCCATAGAAAACGTCGACATTGGTACTCAGTGATGGTAGCCAATGGTTCTGCCTCGACCCATTTGGTGAAATAGTCGATAGCCACAACGCAAAACTTCAGGCCTCCCGGAGCGACGGGCAATGGTCCCAACAAGTCTATTCCCCACTTGGCGAAGGGGATGGCAGTGGTGACCGGTGTGTAAAAGGTGGCCGGCCGGGTGTCCTTCCTGGCGAATGCTTGACAAACACCGCACCTGGACATCCGTTCAATGCAGTCTCGCATCATGGTCGGCCAATAATACCCTTGAACGACTAACTTCCGGGCGAGCGTGTGGGCGCCCTGGTGCGCGGCACAAATGCCTCTATGGGCTTCGTCCATTATTTTCTCGGCCTCGGGTCTAAGCAGGCACTTTAGCAAGGGTCCACCGAACGACTGTTTGTATAGCTTCCCGTCGATGATCCGGAAGGAGGGGGCTTTCCGCCGAACTTTCGCGGCGACTCTCGGGTATTCCGGTAGCTCGCCTTTTTCTATGAATCGCCGGATGTCCTCTATCCAGAACATTTCGGGATTTTTCCCTCGATCCCATTCCCCGAGATCTATTTGCTGGACTTCCGGTGGTGTCTCTCCAACACTCGGCTGATGTAGCTCCTCCTTCTGACAAGTTTTTATCAGATGGTCCGGTACCCCTTCCAAGGCAATTTTGGACAATAAGTCGGCTTCCGTGTTGTCCGTTCGGGGTATGTACTCTATCGCATAAGCCACGAACCCTTTTAACATCTCGACCGCGCGCTCTTTGTATAGCGCCATCTTTGCATTCTTAGTTTCACATGTGCCCGAGATCTGTCCAACTACCAGTCTGGAGTCAGTCTTGATTCGCAGCCGCTCGACTCCCAGGGCCTTGGCGAGTCGGAGGCCGTTTAATACCGCTTCGTACTCGGCCTCATTATTTGATGTCGAGAACCGATATCTCAGAGCGTAATATAACCGGAATCCTTCCGGAGTGATGAGCATGACACCGCCTCCACAGTGTTGTCGGCTCGACGCTCCGTCCGCGTGCATTTCCCACCACTCGCCTGGGCAGCCCTCCGAGGCGTGTTCTTTTTCCTCCTCACTTGCAGTGCATTCGACCAGGAAGTCGGCTAGGGCCTGACCCTTAATGGAAGGCCGAGGTTGGTACTCAATCCCATACTGAGTCAACTCTACGGCCCACTTTACAAGTCGGCCGGAGGACAAGGGGTTTCTTAGCACGCTTCCGAGCGGCTGATCTGTCAAAACTCGAACGGTATGGGCTTGGAAATAGGGTGCCAGCTTGCGCACGGTAACCACCAACGCATACACAATCTTTTCCACAATGGTGTACCGCGTCTTGGCGGCCTTCAGCGAGCGACTTACGTAATAAACCGGGTGCTGGACTCGGTCATCCTCTCGGACCAATACCGAACTCACTGCTTTGGCTGAGGCCGCGAGGTACAAGAATAAAGGCTCGCCCACCTGGGGGGTAGACAGCACTGGGGGCGTTGAGAGGTACTGTTTCAACTCTTCGAACGATTGCTGGCATTCGGCCGTCCAAGCGAATCCCTCCTTCTTTTTCATAGCTTCGAAGAAAGGGCCAGCATCGAGAGAAGCCCAAAGAGTAGTCAGGTCGAGTCCAGGAGTCGGCCGAGGCCCAAGCCCAGGAAAGGACCTGGCTCGAGGAGCCGTTGAGGGCATTAAAGAGGTTCCTTTAAAGAGAGCCGTTGCAGCATTGAAGGCAGGACCCGTTCGAGTTTTGACAGATCAGCCGCTCGGAAGCGTGCTAAGAAACCCCTTGTCCTCCGGCCGACTTGTAAAGTGGGCCGTAGAGTTGACTCAGTATGGGATTGAGTACCAACCTCGGCCTTCCATTAAGGGTCAGGCCCTAGCCGACTTCCTGGTCGAATGCACTGCAAGTGAGGAGGAAAAAGAACACGCCTCGGAGGGCTGCCCAGGCGAGTGGTGGGAAATGCACGCGGACGGAGCGTCGAGCCGACAACACTGTGGAGGCGGTGTCATGCTCATCACTCCGGAAGGATTCCGGTTATATTACGCTCTGAGATATCGGTTCTCGACATCAAATAATGAGGCCGAGTACGAAGCGGTATTAAACGGCCTCCGACTCGCCAAGGCCCTGGGAGTCGAGCGGCTGCGAATCAAGACTGACTCCAGACTGGTAGTTGGACAGATCTCGGGCACATGTGAAACTAAGAATGCAAAGATGGCGCTATACAAAGAGCGCGCGGTCGAGATGTTAAAAGGGTTCGTGGCTTATGAGATAGAGTACATACCCCGAACGGACAACACAGAAGCCGACTTATTGTCCAAAATTGCCTTGGAAGGGGTACCGGACCATCTGATAAAAACTTGTCAGAAGGAGGAGCTACATCAGCCGAGTGCTGGAGAGACACCACCGGATGTCCAGCAAATAGATCTCGGGGAATGGGATCGAGGGAAAAATCCTGAAATGTTCTGGATAGAGGACATCCGGCGATTCATAGAAAAAGGCGAGCTACCGGAAGACCCGGGAGCCGCCGCGAAAGTTCGGCGGAAAGCCCCCTCCTTCTTGATCATCGACGGGCAGCTATACAAACAGTCGTTCGGTGGACCCTTGCTAAAGTGCCTGCTTAGACCCGAGGCCGAGAAAATAATGGACGAAGCCCATAGAGGCATTTGTGCCGCGCACCAGGGCGCCCACACGCTCGCCCGGAAGTTAGTCGTTCAAGGGTATTATTGGCCGACCATGATGCGAGACTGCATTGAACGGATGTCCAGGTGCGGTGTTTGTCAAGCATTCGCCAGGAAGGACACCCGGCCGGCCACCTTTTACACACCGGTCACCACTGCCATCCCCTTCGCCAAGTGGGGAATAGACTTGTTGGGACCATTGCCCGTCGCTCCGGGAGGCCTGAAGTTTTGCGTTGTGGCTATCGACTATTTCACCAAATGGGTCGAGGCAGAACCATTGGCTACCATCACTGAGTACCAATGTCGACGTTTTCTATGGAAAAGGGTGATATGTCGCTTCGGCCTGCCTGAGCACATCGTCAGCGATAACGGGCGACAGTTTGACTGCCAGGCCTTCGCTGATTTCTACCGCCGACACGGTATCAAGCACACCAAGGTCTCGGTGGCATACCCACAAGCCAATGGGCAGGTCGAGAATGTGAATCGAACGTTGGTCGATGGGATCCGGAAGAAGCTCGAAGACATCCGAGGAAGTTGGGCGGACGAGCTTGACCGAGTCCTATGGGCTTATCGCACTACCCAGCGGCGAGCGACGGGGGAGAGCCCGTTCTCGCTCGCATACGGCTTCGAGGCCAAAGTTCCAGTCGAAGTAGTCGAGCCCACCCACCGGGTTCGCACCTACTCGGATGCAACGAACGAGGAGAATTTGCGGATCGAGAAAAACTTCCTCGAAGAAAGGAGGGAAGCCGCGAGTGCACAGATGGTCGAGTACCAGCAGGCGGTGAAAAGATATCGCGACCAGAGGACTCGCCCGCGAACCTTCCAGGTCGGCGACCTCGTGTTACGCGATCGACAGGCCAGTCAGCCCACCGAAGGGGGCAAGTTTGCAGTTAAGTGGGAGGGGCTATACCGTATTGCAGGGGTGGTCCAAGCCGGAACCTATAAGCTAGAGACCATGGAAGGCAAGCTCGTCGATCGCATATGGAACGCCACCCATTTGAAAAGGTTCTATCGGTAGAAAAGGATAGGCCGTGTACGTGCTCAAAGATTCCAAAACTCTAAATAAAGCACATGGGCTACAGTTAATCGACTGAGGGACTCGGCGAGTATTGAGAGAAACGACGGGGCACTGACCCTAAACTGTTTCTGAGATAGAAAAAGCCTAATGGGTCGCCTCGACCGAGGGACTCGGCAAGAAGAGATAGGAAACAAGGGCCCAGACCCTTAGACGTTTCCGAGAAAAAGCCTACAGGAGTCGCCTCGACTGAGGGACTCGGCGAGTATTGAGAGAAACGACGGGGCACTGACCCTAAACTGTTTCTGAGATAGAATAAGCCTAATGGGTCGCCTCGACCGAGGGACTCGGCAAGAAGAGATAGGATACAAGGGCCCAGACCCTCAGACGTTTCCGGGAAAAAGCCTACAGGAGTCGCCTCGACTGAGGGACTCGGCGAGTATTGAGAGAAACGACGGGGCACTGACCCTAAACTGTTTCTGAGATAGGAAAAGCCTAATGGGTCACCTCGACCGAGGGACTCGGCAAGAAGAGATAAGAAACAAGGGCCCAGACCCTCAGACGTTTCCGAGAAAAAGCCTACAGGAGTCGCCTCGACTGAGGGACTCGGCGAGTATTGAGAGAAACGACGGGGCACTGACCCTAAACTGTTTCTGAGATAGAAAAAGCCTAATGGGTCGCCTCGACCGAGGGACTCGGCAAGAAGAGATAGGAAACAAGGGCCCAGACCCTCGGACGTTTCTGGGAAAAAGCCTACAGGAGTCGCCTCGACTGAGGGACTCGGCGAGTATTGAGAGAAACGACGGGGCACTGACCCTAAACTGTTTCTGAGATAGGAAAAGCCTAATGGGTCACCTCGACCGAGGGACTCGGCAAGAAGAGATAGGAAACAAGGGCCCAGACCCTTAGACGTTTCCGAGAAAAAGCCTATAGGAGTCGCCTCGACTGAGGGACTCGGCGAGTATTGAGAGAAACGACGGGGCACTGACCCTAAACTGTTTCTGAGATAGAAAAAGCCTAATGGGTCACCTCGACCGAGGGACTCGGCAAGAAGAGATAGGAAACAAGGGCCCAGACCCTTAGACGTTTCCGAGAGAAGCCTACAGGAGTCGCCTCGACTGAGGGACTCGGTGAGTATTGAGAGAAACGACGGGGCACTGACCCTAAACTGTTTCTGAGAAAGGAAAAGCCTTGGAGAGTCGTCTCGACCAAGGGACTCGACAAGAGAGAGTTGGAACACAAGGGCCTGGACCCTTAGTCATGCCTGCGAGCAAAAAACCTTGACAGAAGGATTCGGTGAGCAGTTAAACGAGTCTAGGTTAAGGTACGAAGCGTCAAGCCCAAGATAATACGAAAAGGAAGAGAAAAGGTGAATTTCATTAAAAAAGGCCCGAAAAGGAGGCCAGCCTTTACAAAAGGGGGGCTATCCCCAAAACAGGACAGCCCTAAACTACGGGGGAGGGGGTGTCAACATCAATCCCTTCAACTTGGGCCCCTGCCGTTGGTCCAGTCAGGGGAACAGAAGAAGGGTCCTCGGTCGGAAGAGAGGACTTGGCAAGCTCGGGAGGTGTCATGGAAGGAAGTGTCGCCGGATCAGAGGCTGCCGGAAGAGATGCCGGATCCCCAGCCGCCGATTGTCCTTCAGTCGCCGGAAGAGCATCTATCACGGGCTTGAGGCCCCAGTTCTCGGGAGTGAAAGAGGAGTCGCGGACCAGCAAGGCAGCATGGATCTCTGTCTGCGCCTCGCGAAAGCCGAGGCGATAGTCACGCTCGCCCAAGTCCAGGAGAAACTCGTCGCCATCCGGCGTCGATAGCCACTCCTTAGCGATCTCTTTTTGGCGAGCCTCTATCGCCGCCTTCACCTCCGCCTCGAAGGCGGCCGACTTCTTGTACTCCTCGACGGAGGCCGTAGCAATCGTCGCCACCTTGTTTCGTTCCTCCTCCCACTGGCGAGTAACCCTCAGCATCTCGGAGTTGTGCACCTCCACCACCTTGAGGTGCTTCACCTGCTCTTCCAAAAAGGCCTCCTCCGTCTGACGTAGCTTGTTCGACATAGACCGCATGTCGGTCAAATAGTTCTGCAGCCGCTTACTCATCTCCATCTGGAAGGTGAGGTTCTGCGAAAAAGACACAAGTCAGGCAATGAAAGAAAAGGACGAAGGGGAGGTCAAGTGGAAAATACTTACGCGGTACGATTGGCGCAGTGAGGCCTCGAGGATGTACCCGTCCCCCAGAGCGTGAGTCGCCTCCACGTCCTTAGGGAGAAGGACGTTAGCACACCACTTACGGACAGAGGAGGTGACCATCCAGATCTGGGCATCCTCCTCTACCTCATGACACAGCCGGATCCTTTTTGGAGCCGGCTCGTCAGTTTGAGCAGCCGGGCGCTTAGAGCCAGAGCTCTCTGTCTGAGCGGGAGGTGGCTGCCGAGTGGGCGACACCACTGGTGATGGAGTCAGATCCACCACGTTCTGAGGAGGAGGAGGAGTCGGCCTGGGAGCTGGAGACGGTAGAGAAGAAGAGGCGGCAGCAGTACCGGAGGAGCGTTGGAGCAGCCGACGCCTCATCTTTTCGGCTCTGTCTGCCATCTCGGGAGTCGGTGCAAACGCCTCGTCAGAGCTGGAAGAGTCGGAGTCGTATGGACCTGTAAGAAGGGAAGAGAAAGTGTGAAGTGCTCCGAGTCGGAATATGGCGAGATAGAAGAGGAGTAAGAGATAACGAACACTACCTACTGTGGCTGCACCCTCCGGCAGCAAGCCACGCTTAGCCATGGCCCGGACTCGGGACCAGTACTTGACAGAGTACGGCCCAAAGCCCTTCAAGAACTCGCCGCCCAAGACCGCCTCGTCGGAAGGAATGGCACGTCGAGGACAAGGCTTGAACAGAGCGGCCGGCCACAGGGTCAGAAAAGTGAAAGAAGAAAGGGCAGGGCGGACGAAGAAATAGAGAAGCTTCCAATCCTTGATGGAATCGGACAACCCCTCGAAAAGCTGTCGCCCTGGGCGAGCGGCGACTTGAACGAAGCCCGGCGAGTGCGAGCCGACCTTGTTTACGGTAAAAAGATACCGGAACAGGTCGAGGTCTGGCTCGCACAACCACCAGTGGCAGAGATTGATGAAGCAGGTGAGGAGTCGGTGAGAATTGGGTGCTAATTGGCCCGGGACCAAGTTATAATGGCGGTAAAAAATAGAGAGAAAAGGACATGGGGGGACTCGGAAGCCAAAGGCGACCGAGTGCAGATGAATACCGACACAACCCTCGGGAGGGTCGTAAATTTGCCGGCCCTCCGGAGCAAGGACTATGGCCGAGGGCCCAAGAAGGTACCGGGCCATCTCCAGATCCGCCGCAGTAGCGATGGACGGTGGCCCGGAGGGGCGGACGATTGGGTCGAACTTGCCCCGCGGCCGTATAACGCCGCCCGGCAGAGCTGCCACCATCGTCAGAGGAGCGGGGCTCAGCGGAGTAACCGCCCCCGAAGAAGAGGGGGTCGGAGGAAGAGAAGATGTCGATGGAACGTCCGAGGGAAGTTCCGTGCGACGGAGGGAAGACGTCAATGGAACGTCCGCCGGAAGTTCCATACGACGTGGAGGAGAAGAGGAAGACGAAGAAGGAGAAGAAGAAGAGGGAGAAGTCGCCTCGGTGTTGTCAGCCGAGTAACGACGAGAAGAGGAAGAATGCGAGGAAGAAGACATTACCTAAGTCAGGAAGGAAATTGGAGGAGGAACAGAGTGGCCGGAGAAGCTCGAAGTTGAAACTGAAAAGGAGAAGACCGGAGAAGAGAGTGGAAAGAGACGAAGTGGCTATTTGAAGGGTAAGAATGTCAAAGGGCGGCCACGTGCCACCTTCTCGTTGGAGGGGCTGGAGGTGACGAGACGTGAAGAGACGCCGCATTTAATGCCTCAAAAGGCGCGGCGACGGGTCGAACGTCACATGACCTAGGCTAGGGTCGAACGTCACATGACCCGGCCTGCTAAGCCGGAAGCCCATAGCGGGCCACGGCCTCTGGGCCCACGAGATACGAGCTGGAAGCTTCTAGAAGCAACCCGGTAGAACTCAGCTCAGCAAATGATGTCGGCCGAGTTCACGAAGAAATTCCGGTCGTGGAGTCGGCGATTAGACTCGGCGACTCCCTCGACAGTAGAATCGCGCCATAGCAAGACTAGGGGTCCATCTCACGGATCTGAGGTCGGGAGACAAAATAATAAGAAATTACGAGGTCGGATAAGAAAAGCACACTATTTATTGAAATCGACACAAAGATTACAAGGCCCGGGACTCGGCCGGTGCAAATTACAAGAGAAAAACAGAGTCATGACTTGGCTTCCTTCTCAGTCGACGAACGGGCGGCCGGAGGACCCTCTAGGAAGTACTGGGGGCGGAATGGAAGAGGACTCGGCTCAGGCTCTGGCATCTCGTCCAGATATACGGCCGGCTTCCCATCGCCAATCATTTGTAAAGGCCTCTCCAGAGCGCTCGGCGACATGGCAACGCCGAAAAGCGGAGGAACCTCCCACACCTCTTCCTCCTCTGGAGCAGGGTTCCCGACCTCTGGTCCCGGATCCTCCACCACAGGCTCCATCTCCACATCGATGGACTCCTTGCACATCAGGTCCAGCATGTCCGGAGACACCACGCTAGGGTCTGATGCCGAGTCGCCCACCAGACGACCTCCGTTAGCCAGCCTTTTCTGCCTCAGATGCTCCAGGCGAGCGTGCTCCTTGTTGCGGATGGACCAGCGACGATCACCATCTCTGTAACTCATAGCGCCGTGCTTTCGCCAAAGGAAAGGTATTGCGATTTGCATCAACCATGAAGGGTCTTTATATAGCCCAGGGAAGGCGAATATCTAGGCGATAATTACGGAGGGGATTGGTGTAACTGAGCCGGATTGGACGGATGATGAGAATCTTTGTCAGAGATTAGTTCCATCAGATCCGCCCGGGAAAAGTGAGATTCGCACGCCAACATAAAAGATTTGATTTACCCAAGCTATGGGGAATCTTGCAGATGTCAGACTGAAAAGAGTCTGACGATGTGATCGACTCCTTGACTAGTCGTCCGAATGAGCACGCAACAAAACACGACAAAACACAAGTCAAAATGAAAATATTGCTTTTATTATTATTACGGAAAGGGAGGGTACAAGCAGCAAGGAGCTTATTACAAATTATAGATATGCTCCTAAAAGAATTCCTCCGAGATATGACCGACCCCGGTACATGAAGGTCACTCGCCAGGCGAAGGGGAGTCGCCTCCAAAGAATCCCCCCGATGGTCCAGGGGGAGAGGGGCAGAACGAGTCCCAGAAAGCTGGCATGAGCGGCGGCGGAATGGGTTCCTCATCGTCCGGATACGTCCGGGTCGTCCAGCGGGATGGAAAAAGTCATCTTGAAAGTCAATTGCTCAGGGATGGCCACCTCCACAAAGGATCCATCTTGAGAAGTCACCCTCGCGGTTGCTGGAGTCGACGGATGAGGCAGAGGCGGCGCGACTTCTCGCTGAGGTGGGGTCGGCGGTTGAGAGGCTGAGGAGGTGGCACCCGCGGGAGATCTTCGAGGAGTCGGACGAGAAGCCTTTTTCTTGCTTCCCCTCTCAGGTCGAGTCCGTTTAGAAGGCAGCGGACGCCAAGGAGACCCGAAGTCAATTCGCTTCCCTTTTAAGGGAGAGCGACCCATGATGAACTCGTGAGGATAAGAGAGAAGGACAGAGGCTATTTATAGGTGCCAAGCCTGGAGGAAAGAATCGCAACGACTCCGTAAGATCCGGAAAGAATGGCTGATGATTCGGACGTTACGAAGGCTATTAAGGGCACGGATACGGTAATTAAAGGAGGCAAGTGGCTGCTACTTTTCCAAACCCAGATTGGAGGACCAGGTATGGAAAAGTGAGGGACTAGTTGATGGGGTAAGGACCCCGGCCCAAGATATAGGGGCCCAAAGAAAATAGAAGTGGGCCAGCATCGAGAGAAGCCCAAAGAGTAGTCAGGTCGAGTCCAGGAGTCGGCCGAGGCCCAAGCCCAGGAAAGGACCCGGCTCGAGGAGCCGTTGAGGGCATTAAAGAGGTTCCTTTAAAGAGAGCCGTTGCAGCATTGAAGGCAGGACCCGGCCGGGCCGTTACAGGCCTAGGAGAGCCGTTGGTTGGCCGAGTAATGGCGTCCAACGGCTCCATACCTTGATTAGCCTTGAAGTCGGCCATTAAGGGCCTTCAAGTCGACAGAGGAGGAGCCACTATATAAGGGCTCCTCCATTCCTGTAAAAGGTAGACATTTGGGGGACACCTAGAGGGGTGGAAAATAACAAAGAGTTTCTGAGCACTGTGATTATCTCCGAGTTAGACATAGATATTATTGAGAGGTGTATCCTCCGACCAAAGGTTGTGTTGGACCTCCTTGGGCCCGAAAACCCTAAAACCATCAATAATAATAATAATAATAATAATAATAATAATAATAATAATAATAATAATAATAATAATAATAATAATAATACGAAAATTAACTTTTAAAATAGAGTGAAGAGAGAGATGGAAAAATAAAGACGGAAAATATATTCCAACTAAAAAATTATAAAGATATTTTCCGTCAAATTGATCGTTGACCAGAATGAATATTTTCCTTTGACTTCATTTTTCTTAAGTACCCGGAAAATTTGACATTTCCTGGGTTTCCAAATGTACCTTTAAGTTTAATAAATTTGTTCTCCAAAATCATTGCAGTTGTTATTTTTTATACAAATGAAATTGATATCAGGACCTTTTATGAAGAATCTTCATTAACTAGCGTTACACTAATAAATATAAATTTATACATTATTTAATCAGTCTAAACTTTTATTTCCAAGTTCTAACTAAAAATAATTAATACTTGCACTATAATATAATATTTATAGTAAGTTTTTTTTTTTTTTTTTTTTTTTTTTTTTTGTAATTTTTAGTAACTTATTTTTAGAAAAATATTTTATTTTAAAATTATTTATTAAGATATTATTTTTGGCTCTATGATGATCCGTGTCAAATTTGTAAATGTTTCGGTCACACGGGAGCCAATTGTTTACGGCGATATTCAGGGGCTCCGGGTTCTTAGCGTTTTTCACCCTCCCCGGCTCCTCAGGAGAATGTAGCCGTTTCTGGTGATGACTCGGGTGGTCCACATGAGTGGTTTCCTGATACTGGTGCAACCAATCATGCTACGCCCAATCCTTCTTTGTTGACCTCTGCGACAGGTTATGATGGCCCTGAGACTCTTCGTGTTAGCAGTGGTACATGTTTGCCTATTGTTAATGTTGGTTCAGCTTCGTTAGCCACTAATTCTAGGTCTTTTAAGTTAAATGATGTTTTGCATGTTCCTGATCTTTCTAGTTCATTATTATCTGTCTAGCGTTTTGCCAAAGATAATAATGTTTTCTTTGAGTTTCACCCACTTTGTTTCTTGGTGAAAGACATTTTGACCAAGAAAGTCCTATTTAAAGGGCATCTGATGGCCTGTACTCCTGGCATGCGTCCTCTCCTGCTCCAGCTGCATTCGTTGCTGCGCGTTCCTCTTTTGTCTGGCATATGCGTTTGGGGCATCCGCACTCCCGAGTCTTACGCAAAATTTTAAAGTGTTCGTCTGTAAGTACTTTTAATTCGAAAGATCTCCCCAATGTTTGTTCCCCTTGTCAATTGGGAAAATCATCTTGTTTTCCATTATCTCGTGTTGAAACTACTAGTACACATCCTTTAGAATTAATATATTCTGATATTTGGGGCCCTGCGTCGTTACTTTCTGCGAATGACTTTAAATATTTTGTGTTGTTTGTGGATGATTACACACGGTATATATGGTATTATCCGATGCGTGCCAAATCTGAATTATATGGCATATTTGATAAGTTTCGGTCACTTGTTGAACGTTGTTTTTCTCGCAAGATTATTTCTTTTCAATCTGATTTAGAAGGAGAATATAATAAGCTTGGTTCCACCCTTTCTTCTCTAGGTATTCGTCACAGGCAATCTTGTGCCTATACTCATGAACAGAATGGACGGGTGGAGCGCATGCATCGTCATGTTGTTGAGACAGGACTGTCCTTAATGACTCAAGCATCTGTTCCTTCTCATTTCTGGGACTATGCTTTTGAGACTGCTATCTATCTTATAAATAAAATGCCCACTCGTGTTTTGTATGATGAGTCACCACACTTTCGTTTGCATCGTTCTCCCCCATCTTACTCTTACCTGCGGGTATTTGGTTGTTTGTGCTTTCCTATTTTGCGTTCATATAATCGAAATAAGCTACAATTTTGTTCATCTCCGTGTGTCTTTCTGGGTTACCCCCCGTCTTATCGTGGCTATCGTTGTTTAGATACTAACACTAACAAGGTCTTTATCTGCCGCCACGTGCGGTTCGATGAGGCTGTGTTTCCTTTTGTTTCTCCTATTTCCTCGTAGGTTCCTAAGCCACGGTCCAAACCGCGGGGCACTGCATAAGTTGTGACGAGCCGAGGAAATGATGTCTCGGCCACCTTTGTTGATGGCACTCGGCAGATTGACGAGCCCGTGTTGGCTTCTGGCCATGGTGACGGTGCTGGTCACGAGCAGTCTGTATCGAGTGAGCGGACTGTCTCGGACCAGCAGGTTGAGCAGCGCGCCAGACCGCGCAGGCGTCCTCAGCGATCCACTCCGCCTTCTCGGTCGCATGGCATGAACACTCGTAGCTCGGGTCTGCATCAACATGTTGCCTTAACCACTACTTCTACCGCGGTGTCTGAGCCTACCTGTTACTCTCAGGCGGTCAAGTTTCCTGAGTGGCGTGATGCAATGGACGCAGAGTTCAATGCCTTGGTTCATAATCATACATGACGTTTTGTTCCTCTGTGGACTTTGCGCCTTCAAAGACTGATGTGTCTCTTTTTATCTATTCTCATGATAATGTTCGTCTTTATTTCTTGGTGTATGTTGATGACATTTTGATTATGGGGTCTGACTCAGACAGTGTTACTACACTTGAGTTTAAAGTTCGTGATGTGAGTGTGCCTTCTTTCTTTTTGGGAATTGAAACTGTCCCGTTATCTGGTGGTATGCTTTTATCTCAACAAAGGTACATGAAGAATATTCTCAAACGTGCTGGCATGGTGGACTGTAAGCCAGTGGTCACGCCTGTCTCTACCGTGAAAATCGCCGACGATGTTGCTACTCCCTATGCCGATCCAACACAATACAGAAGTCTTGCTGGTGATCTCCAATATCTTACGGTAACTCGTCCTGATATGTCTTATGCTGTTAATCTCTTGTGTCAACATATGCTGCCCCCACTACTACGGACTAGGCTTCTCTAAAAAGAGTCCTACGATATGTCAAAGGCGCCCTGCATTTTGGTCTGCGTATTTCTCGGTCTGCGTCGATGGATATTCGCGCTTATTCTGGCTCAGATTGGGCTGGCGATCCGAATGATCGCAAGTCTACTAGTGGTTTTGCTATGTTCTTGGGGAGTAATCTTATATCTTGGGTTTGTAGCACATTCTTCAACTGAAGCAGAATACAAGGGTCTGGCTGATGTATCTGCTGAGGTTACATGGCTTGTTTCTCTGCTACACGAGATCGGCATCCCACTTGCGTCTCCTCCTCGACTATGGTGTGATAATTTGGGAGCTACTTACTTATGTGTCAATCTAGTGTTTCATGCCCGCACGAAGCACATTGAGATTGATTATCATTTTGTTCGCGATAAAGTAGCCAAAAAGGAGTTAGAGGTGCACTTTATTTCAACCAAGGATCAACTAGCAGATATCTTCACCAAGTCTCTTTCGTCTATTCGTTTTAATTCTCTCCGTGACAAGCTCAATGTTTTGGCTAGCCAACCTTGTGCTTGAGGGGGAGTATTAGGACTATGTTATCCATATTAGACTAGGACTATGTTATCCATATTAGACTAGGACTATATTATTCGTGTTAGACTCGGATTCTATCTAGTATCTATATATTTGCTCTCTGTACTCTTAGACATTATGATTGAATACAACACAATCTATATTCTCATCATATTCACAAATTCCCTTCTACAGATGTTATGTGTTTTGACTTAGAAACATAATTTATAGTCCAGAAGTTCACAATTCCAATACATACACAATTTATACGTCGTTTAGGATCAGGGTCCACATTGCAAAGGTGGGCTTGGTCCATGGTATAACAACTCTTAATCATATGCATGGTTTAAAGACGAGAATTGTAACTCTATCTAATCTTTAAGGTAGCATTTCTTTTGTCCGCACAGGCTTAACTCAATGGTTCAGTAGGCAGTATTTGGAAGAAAAAATCAAGGTTCGAATCTCGGCGGCGGCAATGTGGGGGTTATGTCTAAAGTGAGTAGATCCCTTGTGCGCACCTCATTTGGCCCTAATTGAGCCATTGAGTCACCATGATTTATATCCTCTCAAATGCTCTGTCGGGCTGGGATTGGGGAATTAACATTTTTGGAGAAAAGATAGCTTTTTTTTTTGGTAACTACAACCTAACCTTATACATGGTATCTACTCAATATGATTATGCCAACATGCGTAATTAAAATGGGACTTGAACCTGTGACCTACCATTTGAAAATGTTGCATTTCTTAAAAGAGTCACTTTCATATGTTTGATACGGCAAATTATGTTGTGCATCCGTATGCACCATGCATGGTGCATACGGATGCACACGACGTCGTTTTAGAGTAAGACGTGGTCTTATATCTTATATAAAAAAAAAATTCCGTTAACGGCATTTGTTTCCTTTCGCAATTGTTTCTTTTCCAATTTTCCAATTCAATTTTTGGCAGTTACTCATTGTGGAATTGGCATTCGAGATCTGCGCGTTCGCAATCGCAATCGGTATCGGAATTGCATTCAATTTTGCGTATTGAGTGTTAGATGGAGGAGGCAATAGAGCAGACAGATTCTGCAGTTGGTGATCTGCTTTCGATTCAAGGTGCTTTGCATTTTTGCGTTTGTTTTTGCATTTGTTCCTTTTGCGTTTTTGTATGGTTTTGCGATTCATTGCGATAAAATTGTTTCTAGCAGTATGTTTGATTGATGTTTGTGTTTAGAATCTGCCATTTTGTTTGATTGTGGTACAATGAATATGAGTTTGTTGGTTTTGTAAATATTTATACAAAATTTCATAAGTAAATATCCATAATTGTATAACAATAATTGCAGAATTGCATAACTATAATTCCATAATTTTATATATACACATCCAGAATATTATAAATACACATCCATAATTTCATAACTATATTTCCAGAATTGCATAACTATATATTCAGAATTCGCGAGTACTCTGTTTTGACAGTTTGTTGCGTCTGCTTATGCAGAATAGCATAACTATATATCCATAATAACATACCTACATGTCCAGAATTTATTAACAGTATATTCATAATTCGTATGTACTCTGTTTTTGCTGTTTGATGAACTGTTTGAAATAATGTTCACAATGTTTATATAATGTAGTTAGTGAATGCATTGTGGATGGTTCAGTGAGTTCAGATCAAGCAGATGTAGACATTGATGACTCTTCTTCAATTCCAGGTTTATTCATAGTTGTTTATCTTTTAATTAGCAAATTCTGGCTAGGGATTATATTTTAAGGGAAATGGTTATTATTGTGTTATATTTGCAGTTGATCAAGATTTGGTTGGTTCGGTAGTAAGTAATGTTGATGAGGCTTATGAGTTGTATAAAAATTATGCATATAGAGTTGGTTTTAGTGTGAGGAAGGGTCATCAACGTTACAAGGGATCTACTAACACAATTCAAATGAAGAACTTTTGTTGTTCTTAGGCTGGTTATAAGGCAAACAGTGGGGTTAAGGCTTATTCAAAAATTGACACAAGGACAGGGTGTGAAGCATTTGTTCAGTTTGATGTGGGTGATGATGGGTTGTGGACAGTTACAAAACATGAGAAAGTGCACAATCATGAGTTATGTGTGTTCAACAAGAGTCATCTACTTCGTTCACAAAAAAGTGTTGGAGATAATCAGCTCTTATATACAAGGCTTGAAAGACAGTGGAGTTGCATTGGTGGATGGTATTAGGTTCCTAAAAGGCTAAAACATCAATCAGGGGGGTCTCCATTAGTTGGTTTCACCAATAGAGATGCTTATAATTCAATGGCTGCTGGTAGGGAATACCCCGACCGACATGCCACGTATTTTATTCTTGTTTATGCAGGTTTACAGGTCGGATATTCCTGAAGGAACCCGGTCGGACCCGACCGAGGCATCTCCCAACCAACGTCTTCATCACCACATCGATGGCCCTTGGACGAGAAAGCCGCGAAGAGGCACGTGGCAGTGTTACGCGCTGACAGGCAGGGCTCCCGGGGAGAAGACAGGTGGATGCTATGTGGGTTACATGCCGGACGACCGGAATTGTGTCTCCGGCCTAGCGGCTATAAATACCCACGGCGGCTACAGTGTGAAGGACTTTTAGAACGACCGATAGGTTATTTATAGAGCAGCCCGACCGCAGTCAGTCGGCCCTTAGAATAGCCCTTTTAGATTGTATTAGGTTCTTTACTCGATCAATAAAGACTTTACTTGCTTTTGACTTGATCGTATTGACTTCTTTGACCGCATTACGTAGAATTAACACTATCATTTTGGCGCCGTCTATGGGGACCCGTGCACGAAAGCTAACGTTCGACGAGCACTGGTTCCTTTATTCACCATGTTTCCCTACATGTACAACCTCAACGAGGACGAGCAAGCAAACGCAGCAAGCTCCTCCGATCATCAACCCACCTAATACCAGGGTCAGACCGTAGATCTGAACCTCAATCTCTCACCGCCTCATCCGCCGATCCATAACCCGGCCGCCTAGCAACTAGTTCACTACATCCAACCGGGATATCCACCACCGGGTCAGCAGTTCCAGTACCTTGGGCAGTATCCGTACCCGGTCCCACCTCCGCAGTATGGGTACTGGCCCGGTGCACCGATGTTCTATCCATCCCCGACCGGCTATCCCCAGTACATGCCTGTCACACGGCTCCAGCCTCCGCTCCTCCGATTTACCCGACTATCCCGACCGAGCCGGAGCTTCAGCCCGCCCCCCGGGCTAGGCGCTCGGCTCGTTCGAGGTTGGGGTCGCAGGGTGCCGAGGCCATGGAGGTACCACGGCAGGCCCAGCAGGTTCAGCCGGAAACACAAGCCCCGGCGGAAGATCCCGAAGTTGTAGCCAATCGGGAAGTGGCGTTCGAGCGGCTCCGCCCAGCGATGCGGCAATGATTGGGACCACAGGACCCGAGCCGGCGCTTAGTAGATTCACCGATGAGAGAAGCCAGCCAGGAGGGCTCGTTTGGGCACAGTGGGTCGAAATCACATCGCAGATGACGCGCCTGGGAACCGACCCAGGCCCAGACGATGGAGCTTAATGAGACCCGAGGAATGCTCAACGACCTCCGAGCAGAGTTCACGCGGTTTCGAAACGAGCACGCAGTGAGACCCCTGGTCGATCAATCAGCCTCCTTGCTGAGGACACCCTTCACGGCGGAGATAATGGCCCAGCCTTACCCGCTGGATCTGCAAGTCCCGGGCAACAAAGAATACGACGGGCGTACAAACCCTGAGGTCCACATCAACACCTACTACGGCAATATGTTGATGATGGGCGTGTCTGATGCCGTAATGTGTAGGGCTTTTTATTCCACGCTCTCCGGTCGGGCGGCAGAATGGTTCAGAGGACTCCAACCGGGCTCCATCGCCGATTTTGAAACTTTGGTGAGGAAATTCAACCGCAATTTTGTGACCTCGAAGGTCGTGAGAAAGCCCTACATGTACTTGGAGAAAGCCAAGCAGCTGGAGGGTGAGAGCTTGTCCGAATTTTTGGTCAAGTGGAAAGCCGCGGTCGGGGAGGTTGAACCAATGGATGATCTCACTACCATCCACATGCTCCATATTTCCCTCCGCGCCGGCTATCTATATCAGGATTTCATCCTCCACCCCTCGAGCACATATGAAGAGGCCCTTCGAAGGGTGACGGATTACGCTAATGCCGAAGAAGCGAACGCCGTCAAACGATCGCAGGAGGTCGGGACGTCATCCCGTAAACCCACCGGTCGGGCGGAACATCGATAGGGTGATGATCATCCCCGACCCCGCACACGACCAGGGGAGTTTACGGCCTTGAATCGATCCGCGGCGGAAGCTATGCATTACGCCCAATCCTGCAATCTCATTCGCCTCCCTCATCCCAGGCAAGACGGACCGGACAAATCTAAGCACTGCGCTTACCACCGTTGTGCCGGGCATGACACAGAGGAGTGCACACACTTAAGGCAGCTATTGGAAGACTTGCTCAGTCTGGGAAAGCTGGATAAGTGTGTGGGTAAAAGAGAGGAAAGCAAGAAGGTTACCGATCGGAGAGATCACAGACGCTCTCAGCACCGCTCAGATCGCTCCGACCGTTCAGATCGGTCGGGTCAAGAACGCAGGGGCGACCGCAAAGACCCCGACCCTCCATCTAGCAGCCGACCGGCAGCCAAACTGACCATTCATGTCATCTTTGGCGGTTTGGACGACGTTTCCCGACCGAGGGAGAGCTGCCCGGTTGCGGTCGTAGACTCTTGTGAAACCGGGAAAAGGCAGCGGATGGAGCCTATCACCTTCGCCTTGGAGGATCAACCAGCTAGTGGAAACCACGACATGGAAGCCCTCGTGGTCACAATCGATATGATCGGGACCGATGTCCACAGAGTTATGGTGGACACGGGGAACAGTGTCAACGTCCTTTATTTGGACGTATTTGAAAAGCTTAATTGGACAAGCGCGAGCTGATTCCGGTCGGCGTACCTTTGTCGGGTTTCACCGGGGCCACCATATGCCCCAAAAGAAAGATCACGCTCCCGGTCGAGATGGGCACCCTGCCTAAATCTGTGAAGAGATGGAGTTTGTTGTGGTTAACATGCACTGCGTCCACAACATCATCTTGGGCCGACCGGCCATCATGAAGGTCGGTGGGATTATTTCCATGCCCCATCTATGCATGAAGTTCCCCACCCCGAACGGGGTCGGCATTGTACGCGAAGATGTCCAATCCGCGAGGAAATGTTACATCCAGGCCGTCAACAAGCGTGATACTGGCACGTCTTCCTGGGTGAATACGATCGTGAAGGAAGCCACCAGTGATCGGAAGGAACAGGCTGAACCTTCCGAGGAAATTGAAGAAGTTCCCCTATTTGAGGACCGACCGGACCGGAAGATCAAAATTGGTCGGGCCCTTACCTCCGAGCTGCGGTTGGAAGTACTGGCAATCCTTCGGGAATTTGCTGACATCTTTGCGTGGGGGCCCGAGGACATGCCCGGGATCAACCGTACAGTCATTTGCCATAAACTTGCTGTAGATCCCGCGGCCTGATGCGTAGTATATTTGCAAACAAATAATTCTCGGAGTACGAGTTATCAATCCACAGGGAAGTGGTTATATCAAGCACTAGTTACTAACTTATTCATTGGAGCTAATCCTAACAATTAGTCAATTACTTAGATGATTGATTGGCATAAAATAAATAAAATAAAACAGAGGTTCAGGATTTTGAAAACAATTAGAGAGAAGTTGAGATTCATGGGATTCAAGTATTTAATCACCTAGTGCCAATTATCGTTTGCAATATTTAGTTTGGAATTAAGATTTGTGTGGGAATGCAAAGTGGAATCGAATTACTCCCGTAATCTCTATTCCTAGTGAATTTCCACTCCCGTGGCTTAAACACCCATTAAGATCGAAGATCAGCATTCAATTATTCCTAATTACTACCATCTCCCGATTGGCAACAATCTAGAATAAACTTCCCCTAATAAGTTCCCCTTTCCCAAGGTCCAACCATTAGGTGCAATTGTGTGTACCCTAATTTATGCC